AAGATTCACCAAAGCCCTTCCACCATCAGAACAGAATTGGAAATGGCTTGGGTTTCCCCCTTTATTTGTATGCTCTATTTCAGATTAAATGGAATTTAAAATTGAACAGGAATCAAAGCAAGTAAACCTGAAATGATTCCGAGGGAATTATACAAAATCTAAACTTACACATGTGTCTATCTTATGTTTTTATATATATAGCATTTATTTATTGCTCTTTGTTTTGTTTTGGTGAGGTTAAGTCAAAGGACTAGAAGCCAGGAGCTCTGGGTTTTATTTCTTGTCTCTTAGAAAATTGCTGGAGGTCACCTTTCGTTAGTCACTTAACCTCTCTCTGCTTTACTACAAAATGGAATTTTAAGCTCAGCAGGTTTTTGAAGAGTAATTCATTAATGTTTAAAAAAAAATGCTTTGTGGTCCTTGGCTGGCAGGTGCTGGAGAAACAGAAATTACATTTCTATTCTTTAAATACTGAAATTATCTAGTAGTAGGGTTCTCGTGTTGAATCTGTTCTCCTGTAATCTGTTAAAACATAAAAGGTAAGAAAAAAGGTATTTTAAAAACCCCTTGTTTTGTAACAGCTCTGTCTTTAACTTCTGGTAATGGCTATCTCTTGTCAACAGAGTGCAAATCAATTTCCAGGCTAAAGCCAAACTCTCGCATTTACATATTGTTAACTGCTCTCTCTTTTCTTGTTAAACAGGAGGAAAAAGTCATTACATACGAGGCAGCTGCCTTATTAATGGCGGGGTGGGGTAAAACATGAGGAACACCTCTTTTTCAGCATATGCTTCTGAACAGCTTGTTCTTCCGGACAAGGACAACTGCAGAGCACCGACATTTGTCCATGGCTTGAGAGGCTTCTGCTTTTTTTCATTGCTAAAATCTTGTGTTTTCATTGTCAAATATTACCAAAATTAAGAACTGCTCTTTAGTTTCATTGTAACCAAATCCCTGTCAGGCCAGAGGGACCGTATGAAATAGTGTAGTTGACAATTGCCGTGTGTACACACAGAAGGAAAAAAAAAAATCTCTGCCATGACATTCCTTTATGATTAAAACTTTGTTACAGACCATGAATGAATTATGGAAAAGAAAGCTGGAAGAAATCATGCTGATTAGCCGAAGGACTCGGATAAACTGACATTTCTGAGACCTTTGTATTCTAAAGGATTATTTACTGTCTGCTTACAGAACATCTTAAGTCGTTTTGCAGAGGGAGTCAGTTTCCTGTTTAGCACAGTGTTTTTGTAAGCTAATGAGGGCAAAGCGTGAGCTATAGGCAATGATGCTGTGATATTAGCTGTGACAGGGAGCTTGATCATAATTATCTTAACGAGGATAGGGTTAATTACAGTGGAAACTTAAAGTTTTTTCTGTTTGAATGAGGTGGCGCTGAATACATTGTGATGTTTTGTCGGTTTGATGTGACTTTGGAAATTGCAATGGAAATCTCTTGGCAGCACTTGCTCTCCTCTGGGAGCAGAGTGTGAGCCCTGCAATGAGGTAACTGAGATGGTACCTGTGGGTGAGATAACGGGCAGCTTTCATGTCATTAGAGCAGGGAAAAGCAACCTGCAATACACCTTAGTGATGTTTATTAGCCTTCTGAAACTGGGGAAAACAACTGCTTGCTACTGCCCCTTCAGTGCCGGTTGTATTGTGGTGGTAAGATTGTGTGTTTGTTTTAATATACCAACATGGGGAGACATTTTTTTCTGCTGTGAACTATGAGAAAACTGCACAGATTTAATTTTAGACCGGTTCTCTCTCTTGGGGGATTTCCATCTTTTTATACTTGTCTCTTTTAGGGTGTTTGTGTGCTTCTTGCTATGCTGTGTATATATACACACTCCTTTCCTATTTTGTAATGGGCTCATAAGGAAATACTTGGAGTACATTAATATAACTATCTCACCCTCATTAAAAAGAAAAATGCTGGTATTTGGTACTGATTTCTACCTCAGCTTCTCAAAAATGCTTTTATGTACTAATTCACCATTTCAATCCTTTCTTAGGGTAAGTGATGTTATCGCCCATCTGCAGATGGGAAATCGAGGCACATAGAAGTTACAGGACTTGCTGAAATTTGTACCATAAAACCTTTTGTGTGGATTGTACTTAAAACTTCTACATTTTGTGGAGTACAACTGCTGGGCAATATTTCCTTATATATTATAAAGGCAGAGATTGTTGCCTTGAATTTAGTAGCTAGTATCACTGACTGACAGCAAACATGTTTTTTCCTTTTTTGTTTCTTTACCAACTGTCTTACTGGTTATGTTTTGGTGCTAGTTTTTTCCTTCTGTCCAAGATGAAAAAATAAGAATTCTGTGGATAGCAAAATAACACAGGGATGTAAATTTCTGTTAACGACTACACCCTTTCTCTGTACTCTGGCAACCCCTCCCAGCTCCCTGGACTCTGAATTTAGGTGATTAAATCGCCAAGTGCACACTGCTCTGATGACATGAAAACAACAATTAATAAGCAAACCCCTGTGTAACACGGCTCCTTTTTAACTGAGCAGCTAATAACATTACATGGCGAAAATTATCAAAACCAGACAGGTGTAAGGAGATTTGCGCACAATTTTCTCTGCCTGTCTATGAAACTAGTACCCTTGTGTTCAGCCCAGGCTTGTGAAAGAAAGGCTGTTTCAATAGGCAACTCCCTCTAGTGTTTCAAGGCCTTTTGTCCCACTTCATGGCTTGTCATTTTGTTTTATGCCTCCCCTGCAGCAGTTTTGGATGTGCGCTTTCTTCTCCTTGCCAGTTGCCAACCATTTGCTGATTCTCATGATAAGAGTATTATATTTGCGTAACATAACTCAGGAACAATGTGTATTTTGATGCTGACACTGACCAGAGCCCAAGCAATGTTTTTTCACAAAGGACCTATTAACATCCCATAAGGCTCTGTGGTGTTGACAAGAAGGTGGCCTTCTCTGAACTCCTTTGGCAAGTCAAAGTCTTACATTGAAATGTGAGGTTTGGAAAGAATCCACTATTTATATAATAAAGAGTATTTAAGGGGAATTTGGTAAACTAGGTTTGTCAAATAAACTGAAATGAAAACTCACAACAGCTTGATAAACTCACTGTTACTTCCTCTGGGTTATTTTGCCTTTTAAAGGTACTGGGGGGAAAGCACTGTCTGAAATGTCTGCTGATCTCTCTTCTTGACTTTGGCAAAACCAAGTCGCTTGCGACCCTTCGCTGAGCGAGCTAGCTTAGCACAGCATGCTAACGCAGCTCTCAGTGGTGTGCAGTGTAGGGAGGCTGAATCGAGTGTTCCCAAAACAGCTTGTTAAAGGCAAAGGCAAAAAGTGTGACTGTTACCGTGGTGGTTGTTTCAGTATAATGTTTATAATAGAGGCTTTTGTTCTTTCAGCTTCAGAAACTGTAGTCTCAATGCATTGTAACGATATATAGCTGTGCCAGAGGGTGTAGCCATGGCAAATTTTCTTCAGGTCTGGCTGCCCAGCATCAAAATGGCATTAGTAATAGCTGTACCTCCCTTTCAGAACGCCAAGTCAACAGACTGTGAGTGCTTTGGAGTCCTTGGACTGAAATACACTGTTTCAGTGTTGTGCAAATGTTACTTGAATATTCATAGTTCAGCTTACAGTTCCCAGTGTAAAGGTCATGGGCTTGATTTCTTTTGGTTGCTTGAACCCTCTAACTGTGATTTATAAGTGGTCAGTAAGTTGTATCTACAAAAGCGGTATCTTGTTTTTCTTGGACAGATGAATGTTAAATTGTCTAATTTGAAACCCATATACTTTCTAATAATATTTGTATTTTCCCCCAGTAGTAGTGCCTATAGAACTTTCTAACAGGGACCTTGACTGTGTATTTTGATCTTTGCCAAAAACTGGGGGGAGGGTGAGGAAACCCCCTCAGTATAAATGTCTTTGGAAACTGAATAAATCGTATAGACTGCATCTCCCTTATTAATCACGTTTTATAAAACAGCCAGGAGATACAGTGATGATCTTCCCACTGGTAGGCATAGTAGATCAGCTGTCAAGTCATGCAATCTCAGCATATCTTTAGGTGTCTGGTAGGTGAATGAGCTGTGAATGCGTGTCTGTGCGTATGCTCCGTATACCAGGTGTCTTAGTTGATTAATATGTGGGGCTTTTTTCCTGTTGGAATGTGCAAGCATTAAGAATCAAGTTTGGAATAGATGCCTTAACAAGGTACCAAGGTGTTCTTTTTAGGTTTTTTCACTTTGCTATCAGAAGAATGAATACCTCCAGAATCTTGTTTATTTACCAGCCATCATCTGCACTTCCATGTTGTGAAATGCTCCTTTTTAAAGCTGCTCTCTGCAGTCTGACCTGTGGCTTGACAGTGGGACAGCAAGTTCTGAAAAGAAAGCAAATGCCTTTTCTGTCTGGAGTAATTCTGCATTTTATTTTGTAAAGAACATTTTATTCTGTTTGCAGGGACTCAAGAAGAAAATTAAGTGGTTAATAAAAAGGAAAAAAAAAATCCCTTCTCTATTTCCTATTATTGCATGTAAGGTAACTGCTAAGAAATGATACTTGAAGTTGTATTTATTATTGTTAGCGGGGTATGATATTTCTTGGCAGAAATGATGGATGACAACTTAAATTTGTGTCCAGGGAATGAAGGTGAACTGTGACAGAGTTATTTATCTTGGGAATGGAGGTTAGGGTCAGGCGAGGCTGGGTGCCTGAAGGCACAAGACATTGACAAATTCATCCTGCAGGCCCCATATCTGAAGCCTTTTGTTTTGGATCCTGGCTACTCACTAAGTGACCCCCATCCTTCATCCTGCCAGCATGTGAAGGATGTGTTGCAGTGCCAGCACTCCCCTTGCCACTAATGCTTGTCATTCACTCTTCTGACAGGCCCAAACCAAAACTATTCCCACTCCTGAAAGGGAAGGTTAAAATATTTATTTCAGCTCATAATGGCCTCCCTGATTTAGTGGAGTATCATTTTTCCTGTTGCCTTTGTCGTTTGCAGGTCACTAGAAGGACTGAAAACATTCAGTTACTTGGAAGAGCTGATCTTGGACAACAATCTACTCGGAAATGACCTTCTGTTACCCAGGTTACCCCACCTCCATACCTTAACGCTCAACAAGAACCAAATATCCTTTCAAAGAAATACCTGCAAAATGTCAAATGAGTTTTATGTGTCAGCCAAATTAAAGTATGTGAAATATAGTTCATGTGCAGACAAAGCATTCTCTCGTTTGGCACCTGGAATACTTCATAGTAATTTATTATAGGTCATTCATAAATGAAATGCACCATTATATCTTCCTGTTGCTCCATTTTAGTGAGAGATCTAAGTTATGGCTCTGAAGAAATCTTTCTAATAGATAAAATAGAGAAAGAAAATAATGTCAGTGCTACCAGTGTGCAGCAGTTCCTGTGTTTGCTTGGGGTTCTGTTGCAGGCTGACCTCTAGTGGAATAGAGAGTGCAGTGAAACGCTGTTAAGTTTTTTATACTTTAAATAGCTCTTAAAACATTAAAGTAAAATAAAATAAAAAAAAAACAACCAAGAAATGTACTATCTTTCTCTATTTTAATGAAGTTGGTAATATGCACAATTTTGTTGCTGCTGTGCGACTACAGCTGTAAAAGCAAGTCACTGTATTCTTGGTGTTCCAACTCTGTATAAATTCATATAAAATGCTGTCCCAATCAAGGTCTTAACCATCCATCTAAATACTTTAATGTATGAAGTCCATTCATAACCAATCAGGCACTTCTCCATATGCCTGAAGTTAGTGCCTGCTTAAGTTTATTCAGAATAAATATTTCAGCATTTGCTATAGTATTCTGCTGAATCAGAGCCCTTGGTCTGTAGGCTTATAGATAATGGTCTGTAAAAACTAATTATCTGCAAGGGCTGGGCATGGACTTGATTATTAAATAATTTTCCCATACTTTGACCCTTCTGGAGATTTGAAGATGTGTAATATATGGTTTTGCAAAAGTGAAGGGCGATCAAATTGTGGCCAAAAGGCCAACTGAGGCCTGCAGAGTCTTAGAGAACAGACCATGAAAGCCCTCTCCTTGTAATTGCAGAGTGAGGACAAGGCTGCTCAACTGCAGGCTTTTATTACAGACAATGTAAACAGAGAGCAATTTACCTCCTACTAAAGCAAAATCCTCCTACTGAGGAGAATAAAAATAACTGCAGCTTCTACGATTTCTGCACTTATTTTTGACTCTATAAATAAATAAAAATCAGCAGAGTAACTTTTATTCTTGGGGCCCTGGAAATTTGCCAAGAGCGTCTCTTGAGCAGCGACGATCATTACTCTACTAGGTATTTGGCCAGATTTCTGGTTAATGCCAGGATTCTGTGGACTGGATTTGAGTAACTGGTTTTATTGTTTGCTGCCACAGTAAAATCTGAACTGGGCATGCTTTGATGAAGAATGTACAAGAACATTTTTGCTGATGCTGTGGGTAATGCTATGTCTGGTGCAGCGTATCTCCTGCTACAAGGCATGAAATGCAATTTTGGCCATAAAACCCCAAAGCATGTGAGTATATTTGTCTTTTGTGGGGTGTGTCAAGGAGGAGCTTTGCACTTAGGAAAAGGAGGGCAGGTGTATTGAATAAGAACTCAGTGAACAAAATTGGAGGGAAAAAATTATTTTGTCAGTAGTATTCTTTAAAGAGTTTCTGCTGGTCTTGGAGACATACTTAAAATACTATTGTCAAACGAGTAAGCTCTCAAAGTCAATGATAACATGATAAGAAGGATTTTGATCTATCCTGGGATTTTTTAAATTCGATCTTCAAACTATGAAGTTAGAGCTTTTAGAGTATTGAGCTACCCAGGTTATAGAAATAATGTCTACGTTTTGTAGTGTGCTGCCAATAATTTAACAGAGGAGTTGCAGAAATGCTTGTAAAACACCTAACGTGTACGAACTGCCCAGAAAAATAAAAGTAACCACTGTCCATCATTAACTTTTGAGCCCTAAGGAGTACAGCAGTCTTTAGAAACACAGAGACCTTCCAGATTCCTCTCTTCAACGTGGATACCATATTTGAAAAAGGTCTCTTTGAACCTGAAACGTTGCTTTTAATGAATGATTTCTCTGTAGAATTCTTTAAAAAAATGCACATTTAGTAGAATAATGAAATATAGTACATGACAGTAGCAGTAAAGAAAGGACACAGGTGAGCAAAGAATACTGATCTGAAACAAAACTTCAATTGGTGGAGTATTACCATGTATACATAAATATATACATATGGAGAGAGAGAGATATGAAAACAAACAGAAAGCCAAACTGACCCCTGTGAAAACTGGAATAACTTTAAAACTCATGAGTGCTTTCGTGGGTATCTCTTAATATTACCGTACTCTTTGCTATTTGTCTCCTTTTATTTTGGCTTCATTTTGATCCAGATCCTGTTTTGATGGTTCTGATAAGAGCTTTCTACTCCTTTTACATGGTTCACTTATTGTGTGGCGTTGTAAGTGTAAGTAACATTTGCCCCTTCCTAACATAATGTCTGGATACACTGTACAAATGTGAAAGCTTATCTCTAAATCAGATAAATACTTAGAATAATAATCCAGTATTTTTCCTTTAAATAGTGATTGTGCATTTCAGTTACAGTTAGGCCACTACCAGCTTTTCTACTAGATGTGGAAGAAGCAAATTTAAATATTACTATTTTTAAAAGTTTCCTAGCATTATACCTCAACTTTTCTGTAATGTGTAATCTGTTAAAAACATTTAAAAATGTAGTCTATGTAGGTGAAATACATAGAGTATAGTTATCAACATTGTGCAGTGATACAGTGATGCAGTGATTACATGTCTCTAATGTGCTTTTTTCATGTGTATAGTATGTTTGTTTTTACAAAAGTCTGATTTACTTTGGGAAACATCACCTTAGTTTCTTCAACAGACACAATGGATGGCTGAAAGTGGTAGGTAGGAAGTTGGTTTTGGGGGAGGACTCACAACTGCAATCACCTTGTAATGGAAAGCGTCATTTTTCCTTTTAAGTGTGTTCACTAGATACTAAGAATCAGTCAGGACACTTCTAGATTTATTCTTCTGTGTGTGTTATAGTAGTGTGAGGCTTCATGTTTTTTCACTGTGCTGATCATGGCTGGTGTTACAGTGGGATTATATAGTATAGACATTTCCTTTACATTTCAGTCTTTTTAGTATTTGTTAAAACTACTCAAAAGGGCAGCAGTGATAGTTTGTCAAATATATATATATCTGTATGCTGAAAATTAGATGGTGTTCACTGCCTCACTTCAAAATAGACAAGTCCAATAACGAACCAGATCTGTGATTCTCTGAAGTAAAAGCCCCATTTCTTTACTTAGTCAGTGAGCTGGTCATCCACTTAACATACATTCTGTATGCTTCTGAAGAACTGATATCAAAATTGATTTAGAATAATGGTGTTGAATGTAGATGTAGAATGCAGACATTGAACCTTGGTCAAGGTTTTGAATGGTTTAGAGGAAAACCAAAATATTTCAAGCCATGGAGTGGGAAATCTGGACCTGGGAAAGAGGAGTTATCAGTGTGGTTCAGAGCTAAGGGATTATATGTTCCTGAGTCTTTGAAAACAGCATGGATCAAGTACCTCAACTGAAGAATGTACCAATAAGTACTTCTGGTATAATATGTCTTCACAGAGGTCTCATCATAATGCCTAACAGTTACGGATTTGTTTTACCCCCAAACTGTAGATTGTAATTTATTTTGCCTTTGTGCTTGTTCCTACATTGTCCTGAAGTGCTTGAAGACCTAAAAGTCTCAGTCTGGCCAGAATCTCATTATGTTAAGTGTTGGGGACTTGATGTTTAGATTGAATGAATACATTAAAGATGTAAATTGTCTCCTGTTATGCACAGATTCCTATCTCCCCTAAAAAAAAGATCTAAGCTGAAATGGCATAGCAGTCTTCCCGCATACGCTTCTGAGCTCTCCATCCCACAGTTGCAGATTTGGCTAAATCTGAGTGTGGTTTGTTAGAGAACCGCAGCACCTGATGAGCCAAAAATCTTCTAGAATAAAGTGTACCTGAAGTAAAAATTCAGTAATGTGAATGCCTAATGCCAAACATCTATGGAAGAGGGAGGTAGTCTTCAGTCCAGATGATTTCTTATCTTGTTCTACAGCAATGCTTGGACCAGTTTAACTCCAGGTGTCAGAACTTTTTTAAAAAAATGGTGAGCTGCTGCTTTATTCTTGATTGTCTTTGTGTTGCCTTGGGAACCCTGAGCAACACTTTGGCAGAATAGTGTTAAAAAAAAAAATCCGAACAAAAACCAAACTTTGAAGGAAAGGACATATAGTTTCAGGGTAGATCTCTCTAGAGAACCAGAAATTTAATTTGATTGCAGGAATAGAAACATTTCTCCTTTTTCTCACAACAACATTGAAACCTGGTCTTCAAATCTGCAGCCTTGGAACAATTGGCTTTCTGAAATACCCTTATGAGCACTGGCAACTCCGGTTACACAGAGAAAACTAATGCTGATCCAGTAGGCAGAATGTGGGTTTTTTTCCAAGTATTCAGTATGCAGGAAGCTCTCCATGAGATGTATGGATTTAGTTAATTACCACTTGTGCTGCACCTTTTCTTTCTTGAGCAAAACGTTTTTAAAGTCAGTGAATAAGGCCTTATCTCAAGGCCCTATCTCCCTACCAGATAGGGTTCAGGCCAGAATGTGGCATACGAATGACTGTGTGTGACATCCTCTTGCACATAGAGAAGGGGAAGATGTATACTTGCATATTGCAAGCTATTTTTGTGGTTATCCAACCTTGAAGACCTAGTACATTCTAATGGAAAAGCGTTCAGGTGGCAAAGATCTTTTCACACTGCATTCAGAGGAGAATTGGTAACTTCTGCTTCAAGGCTATTTACCTGTGGAATAGCTTGTGATTGCTACATCATGTTTGTGATAAATTTAATTGAAGTAAATGTTTCAAATAGGAATAAATATAGGTACCTTGCTCATTTATGACTTTGGTAGAAATGCTATCCGGCTGTTTTAATGTTAGGTTGATTGTAGCACCTGCACGACAGATGGTTAGTTGGCAGAAAACTTGAATGATAGTTTTGGGTCTTTCTGTGTG